GACTGTACGTTTTCAATCATTACGCATACGTGCATAAGATCGAAATCAGACTATGCAGTGAAAAATGAGATTGAAAGATTGAAGTTTGACCAATCAGAATAAAAGGAGTCAAAACTTCTTTGTCCTCCTTGGTGAAATTTCAATCTTTAATCTTTAATCTCAATCTTCAATGCATAGTCTGATTTCGGCCTAACATGTCCCAATCGTATTACCTTCTAAGGTGAAGCAAATGGAGCATGCTCTTAATTGATCCATGGATCAATGCTCTAACGCGACGCAAACATCTAATCGCCATATTGGTTCCGGTGACGCGAATGTATTGAAGCATGTTGGGCATGTTGGAACATGCGACGCGACAAACCTATTGGGTGAGACTCGTGGTAAGGAAATCGGGCCAAACATGAGTATCATGGGTGAGAATCGTGATACATCATTCGTACAAAGCTTAATTTTTTTTTAATTTGTAAGAGAAAAGTATGGTAAAGGATTAATAAAATTAAGTTTTATTAAAAAATTAAATCAAATTTTTTTAGAAACACTATACTGTGTAGACTGTTATATTTGTATACGATAAGTATTCTCGTAATGAAGTATGCATGGTGCGCGCGTGGTGTGTGTGTGTGTGTGTGTGTGTGTGCGTATATTATTAAATTACAATTTCACATTTAATTACAATTTTCATGTAGTATATTATTTTTTTATATATAATTATTCAATTACATAATTATTCAATTACATAATTATTTAATTACAATTTTCATATATAAGTATTTAATCAATTAAACGGTTAGTCCGGCTAGTTTCGGACCAGATATGGCCTCTAAACGGTAAATCCGGCCACTTTCGGATCAGATATGACTTCTGAACGGTTAATGGTTAATCCATTTAATTATTTTTAATTTATTATTACTGTTAATATACTTATTACTGTTTAATATTATTATTATTATTAATGTGAATATTATTTTTATATAACGAGTTCATTAACATTATAATATTATATAATTCTGATTTAAAAATACTAGCTATAAACAATTTTCATGACACGATCGAATTATGTCTTTTTTTTTTTTTTAGAAAAATCATAGCGTAGCTTTATAAAAATTCAAATTTCTTATAAGCGCCTTTCCTCCGCTTTTCCGCTTTCCGTTTTTCCATTAAGGATGAACCCGGTCTAATAGTACTCTAAGGGCACGTTTACACCTCGACGAAAAAGCGGAAAAGCGGAAAGCGGAAGCCAATCGGAACTCGCAGTAATAGTAGGCGATACATTTCGCTTATCTGCTTCTGTCTTTCTGTGAGTTCTGATTAGTTTCCGCTTTCCGTTTTTCCATTAAAATGTGAACTCGGCCTAAGGCCTCAAGCCTTTTGCGTATGATGGCTTTTAGTACAAGAACTTTAGCTAAAAGAACGAATCTAAAATTACAAAAGTGAGCAAATTCACTAGAATATTTATAATTTTATTGGTTAAAACCTAGTGAATTTGCTCATTTTTGTAATTTTCATCTCTCAAGAATCTCAAGAAATATACAACCAATGCCCTTTTGCAGATATAAAAAAACAGATCTTTAATAAATAAATGTACATTGATGTGCATCGATGTATTAGGTGCATGTAGTTTTGTTACATTAATCAATTGAAGGGCCGTTGTTATTCATCTCATTCGTGCTGATTCATACGATCTGGAGATCTGCAAGTTCACAAAGAGATTTTTTAAACGGCTCGGTTGGTCTCTCTCGAGCTCGTAAGTATTATCGTTCTTCTTCTTCGCGTTAGAATAGCCCTGACTCTAACACAGTTGATACGGCCAGAATCGAAAATGTCTATGACTATGTCTACACAGTGAGTAACAAAAAACAATATGCAGAACACGAAAGTCTAAAAGAGTAGCATAAATTGCGCGTTAGAAGCCGGTCACACTTTTCAACAATAATAACGCAATAATACGTCCGATCAAGTCAATAGACAGATTGCTTTTGACCTTTTTTTTCTCTCAAAGTATTATCGTTATCTATATTGTATTATCCTTGATGTATGTGATAAAAGATTCGAATTTTTAAAACACAGTCTAAGAAGGTCAAAACATTTTGAAAATTTAAAAGTCTCGATAGAAGACATCGCTTTTCGTTTCATCTTTTCATCGCATTTCGTAACATCTTCGTATTTGATAAATAAACAAAAAATCTAGAAACTTATTATATGTTGATGAATAGAATATAAGAATGACAAAAATCGTTGTTTGACATTATAAAAAAACAAGATAACATAAAGAAGAGAAACTTGTGCAGTCTATAATGATTTTTTAAAGTTAAGATATTTATCAAAAGTTTAAGACATTTTTTTCATAAAAGAATAAATCTAGCATACTAATATATCTTCTAAATGTTTGGTCAACGTTTCGCGGAGAAGAGGAAAGAGGGCAAGATCGTGGATTTCTTCCTATTTATAATGTATATGTTTTTCTATTTTTGTCAGGTGGTATAACATGTTAAATCCGTCGGAACGCATCAGTTATATGCAAGACAGCAGCAGTGATACAGAGACTGATTACAAAGAGACTGATGGAAGGCATCGCTTGTACAAAAATAGGCTAAGGTAATTTGTGAATAGTCTTACTTCAATTTTAATTATTCAGTTTTAGATTCTGCAATATTATAGAGAGAATGCTCATGGAATGATTTATATAAATTCAGTAACGAATTTATTACCATTTCTGTTATATGTTACAAAACAAAGACATGTCATTATTAACACTTAAAAAGTTGAGAAGTCAAGTTAGAGTCTATTGTTTCATTTAAGTTTATAGGAACAAAAAGAGACTAGTTCTGATTTTAGTTCTTACAATATCTTAGATTTTTCAGCATGCACTTAGATTTGCTCTTATAAATTCATTATTTGCATGCAAATTATTTTTTATATATAATAAACTTATATGCATTTTGTCAATTGGCAAAAAATTCTTTAAATATTCATAAAGCTTACATAAATAAAGAAAATGCATACACTGAAATATACACATTGAAATTTTGTCTTTAATATTTATATTTTGACTTGTATACAAATATATACATACATATACATATTGTCATATATATTATAAATATAATTATATTTGAGCATATATATCTGTGTGTCCATAAAGATTAGGGCTAAAGCTTATTAGGGTTAAATAATTATTTAATATAAGGAAATCAGTTATATATTATATATGTCAAACTCA